GCCTGGGCACTGTCCCTGAGCTTCTTTTGCTCAAGGCTAGCACTCTACCACTTGAGCCACAGTGCCACTTCTGGCTCTTTCTGTTTATGTGGTACTGAGGAATTGAACCCAGGGCTTCATGCATGCAAGGCAAGCACTCTACCACTAAGCCACATTCCCCACCCTGTCTTTGCATTTTCTAGAAAGGTGATTTCATGGCATGTACACAATTTGATAGAGACAGGCTTTTGATTAGGATTCTTCACCTAAGCTTTTTTCTATGTTTCCTAGGTCAGATAGATCTGTGAATGATTCCAGTGTCCTAGTGTCTTCCTTTAAAGTACCTCATTTTATTTATTATTCAGGCTCTGTGACCCCTGAGATGTTTAAGAAGATGTCCAACTCAGAGATCATCCAGCACTTGACTGAACAGTTTAATGAGGTGGAGAAGATGATCAGGATTCTCTTGGCCAATATCTTCTTTCTGATTCTGGGAAATGTGGCAGCTTTTTAGAAGGAAGTGCCTAATCTCTTGGGTCTAAAAGATACCCAAAAAATTATGTGGTAAAATCAGATAATCTGGAGTTGGGGAGAATAACAGAAATCAAATATATTGGAAATACCATTTTTACTATATTATTGGTTGGGTTTGTTTGTTTTGTTGGTATTAAGGTTTGCCCTGGGCTTTCTAGGCAGGCTTTCTAGCACTTAAATAAGGTTTTCACTTTTAAGTGCCTATGGCTTCATGGATCTGATAATAACTTTTTTTCTTTTGAACAATTTTTTTGTAGGATTCAGGGGAATATCCCTTGACAGCTCCTGGACCATCCTGGAAGAAGTTCCAGGGAAGCTTCTGTGAATTTATAAAGACATTGGTCTGTCAATGCCAGTACAGCCTCCTCTATGACAGTTTTCCTATGGATGAGCTCATCTCCCTGCTCACTGGCTTCTCAGACTCTCAGGTCCGCGCCTTCCGTCACACTAGCACCTTGGCTGGTGAGCACTTGTTGCACTGTGGGATCTTTGGGGGAGGGGGGTTCCATTGAATTTTTTTTCTCTGGTTCTGGGTCTTTTTTTCACACCTATATTTTAGCTCTTTATTTTAATATTTTGCCACTGCTATTTCAAACCTCTATGCATTTCTCACTATGGAACACATGAAAAGAACTATATAACTTTCTAGCCTTAATGTCTTATAGCTCACCCCTGTACATATGCTGGGGGTTAAAAAAAGGCCAAAAGAATGAAGAGGGAAAGCCTAGTGCTATGGCTTATGCCTGTAATCCTAGCTACTTGGGAGGCTGAGATTTGAGGATCATGGTTCAAAGCCGGCCCAAGCAGGAAAGTCCATGAGACTCTTTACCTACAATTTACTACCAGAAAACTGGAAGTGGCGTTGTGGCTCAAAGTGATAGAGTGCTAGCCTTGAGAAAAAGAGCTCTGGGACAGTGCCCAGGCCCTGAGTTCAATATGCATGACTGACAAAAAAAAAAAAAAGGGAAAGTCTACTTTAGGGCATTAGTCTTAAGCCTTTAGAATCACCCTACTTTAACCCTTCAATGTCTTTGCCTTTTTACCTTCTCTTTTGTTTGTTTTTTGTCAGTTGTGGGGCCTGAACTCTGGGCCTGGGCACTGTCCCTGAGCTCTTCAGCTCAAGGCTAGAGCTCTTCCCCTTGAGCTTTTTCTCCTTATGTGGTGCCGAGGAATTGAACCCAGGGCCTTATGCATGCAAGGCAAGCACTCTACCACTGACCGAGCCACCTTCACTGCCCTACCTTCTCTTTTGAACTCATGCTCTCTTTGACATATAATTGTTGTCTTGATTTTTCATTGACTCAAAGCTATGAAGCTGATGACCGCTTTAGTAAAAGTTGCCCTCCAACTGAGTTTGCACAGAGACAACAATCAGCGGCAGTATGAAGCTGAAAGAAACAAGAGGCCAGAGCAGAGAGCTCCTGAGCGGCTGGAGAGCCTGCAAAAGAAACGCAAAGAGGTGAGGAAAGAGTGCTTTCTACCTCTTCCTTCTCTTCCTCTCTCCCTCCCTCCTTCTTTTCCTCCCTCTCTTTTTTCCTCCCAGCTTCCATCTTCTGCTGTTGCAGACCACCTCAGTATTTTTCTCGGTAAGAATAGGCCTCTCGCAGTCTTTCAGGTAAAGAATTGGGGAGTTTGGCAATAGCTTTTTAGACCAGTCTGTCAGAGCTCATTATAGTTCAGAAATTATGTCCAGGGCAAGCAGAGTGGTTTAAGTGGTAGACCACCTGACTAGCAAGCATGAGACCCCGAGGTCAAATCCCAATATCACCCAAAAGAAATCATGTTTGATTTTTGAGTTTTTTGTTCCTCCACTTAGTTCAGCTTCCATTTGCATTCATTGTTAGCATTGTTTATATGCAGTACCTGAATGTCATACAAAGAGTTCATTTTTGACCAATATGTTAAGTGTGCAGTGTGGAAGTTATCACAGGATTACTGAAAGCCAACCACTGACAAGGAAGGTGATGTCATGAAGAAATGGAAAGTGCTGGGCACCAGTTACTAGCTACTAAGGAGACTAAGATCTGAGAATCGTTGGTTCAAAGCTAGCTGGCAGGAAGATTGATGAGACTCTTATTTCCAGTTTTTCACCAAAAAGCTGGAAATGGAGTTGAGGCTCAAGTAGTAGAGCACTAGCCTTGAGCAAAAAAGTTCAATGATAGCACCCAGTCCCTGAGTTCAAGCTCCATTTATCTGCCTATTTATCTGTTTAAATCAGATGAGTAATTGCACAGTATGGTATATTTTAAGTGTCAATGTTAGTATGGGTTTTTTTTTTTGTCACTCTGACGAACACTTGAAGGTAGTCTAAAGTGAAGAGGATTTATTTTGGTTTGCAGTTTCAGAAGTCTTAAGTTCAAGTCCATTGATCCATTACGTTGTTCATGGAGGGTAGAGTACTTACAGTTTAATCCCCAGTACTGCCAGAAAAAAAATCATGCTAAGAGTCTGTGATAAATCAAGAGTTATCCACCTCATAGCACAGCCATGATGCAGGAAGGGAAAAATCCAGTGATAAGATTCACCCTTCAAAGATCCCCCCAATAATCTACTTCTTCTCAGTATGCCCCACTACCTAATAGCTCATTCAGGTATACGTTCATCAGTAGATTAATTCATCATTGAAGCTAGAGTCATCATGATCTAGTCACCTCTTGAAAGTGTTATTAGCTGGCAGCCCAGCTTTTAACATGAGCTTTCATGAGACATTTTTTTATTGAAACTGGTACTAGGGCTTGAAATCAGGTTTTTTGTGCTTTAATTTGCTTTTTCACTCATGGCTGGTGATCTACCACTTGAGTCATGCCTCCATTTCTGTTGGCTTTTTGTTTGTTTTTGCTAGTTAATTGGAGATAAGAGTCTCTTGAATTAGTCTTCTTGGGGTGCCTTAGAAATGTGGTCCTCAATTCTCAGACTCCTAAGTCGCTAGGGTTATCCTTTTCTCCTTATTATTTCCACCTCCTCAGTATCATTCTTCAAACTAGGGTTTTCAGCAGTGGCACCATTGACTTGGGAGCGGTTCTGTCTTTGTAAAATGTTTAGCAGTATCCCTGGCCTCTGTCTACTGGGTAACAGTAGGAAGTTGCGCTGTAGCTCAAGTGGTAGAGCACTCGCCTTGAGTTGAAGAGCTAAGGGACAATGCCCAGGACCGAGTTCAAGCCCCACGAC